CCTCCTCTCTCAATCTCCTCTCTCCTCTCCTCTCCTCTCTCCTCTCTCCTCTCTCCTCTCTCCTCCTCCTTCTCTTCCTCCTCCTCCTCCTCCATCCCGTTTCCTATTTGACTTGAACTCTTCCATTTTGCGCCCCGAGATGTGTCGGCCGGGCGTGCCTAGCGTTTCGCTTGAGACTTCCCCACCACTCATGGCCCTGAAACTTTAAAGCAATTTCATGGATGAAGGGTCGTTTCCAAACAGGACTCTCGCCTTAGCGCTGCGCGCATTCGTTTGAAACGTTTGCAAGACTCTCGCGGGTGGAGGGCGAGTGGCTTCAACATGTGGCTCTCGCCTTAGCCCTGTGCGCACTCGTCTTGACATTTTGCAAGAGTTGCACGGATGGAGGGCGGGCAATTTTCAGCATGTGGCGCTCGCCTTAGCGCCGCGCACATTCGTCTTACAGTTTGCAAGGTTTTCGTTGGTGGAGGGCGGGTGGTTTTCAAACTGTGGCTCTTGCCTTAGCGCCGCGCGCAATCGTCTTAAACGCTTGCAACAATTTCGCGGATGGATGGCGGGTGGTTTTCAACATGTGGCCCTCGCCTCAGCGAGCGCACATAGTTGCACCAATTGCACGGATGGAGGGTGGGTGGTTTTCAACATGTGGCTCTCGCCTTAGCGCCGCGCACATTCGTTTTAACAATGCCCAATACTTCCACACATTCTCACGGTTAACGTGTCACGAATGGTGTTCTGGCACGGTTCAGGATTGTCAGGGCGCAACAGTCTCGTTGATTCGCGGTGTTGGAATCTCAGGAAGAGTTTCCTGGAACGATCTAGGGTTGTCAGGGTTGTCAGGATGAAGCAGTCATGTTGGTTCGCAGCGCGGAGGTCACATGAATAGTGTTTTGGCATGGCTGGGGATTGTCAAACGGTTGTCATCCGACTGGATACTTCTCATACTGCAAATCAACTGTTGTAGGGACATATGCGTAGGGAACTTGGAGGGAGGGTTTCTTACAACATCGTTGATGCATGCATCTTGGGCTTACACTGGTCCTTCTTCTCCTCCTCCTCCTCCTCCTCCTCCTCCTCTTGCTCCTCCCATTTCAACTCCCTCCTCCTCATCCTCCTTCCCCTTATCCTACTCCTGCTCGTCGTCCACGTCGTCCTCTCCCTCCTGCCCTCTAGAGTTCCCCCCCTGGGGTCCCTGCAGCCTCCCGCAGGCCGCGCCAATCGCGAAGAGCTGCCGCCACGTCGTGGCGGAGCGGCGAGGTCAGCCGGACCTGGGAGGAGAGTGGAAGAAGGATGGTAGATGAGGAGGGGGAGGAGGGAGGAGAATGAGGAGAAGTAGGAGGAGGAGAAGGAGGAGGAGGAGGCGGAGGAGAAGTAACGAGGGCGGGGGAGGACGAGGACGAGGACGAGGACGAGGAGGAGGAGGAGAAGGGGGAGGAGTGAGGAGGATGACGAAGAATAATGGACGCCCGATTTGGGGCCAACAGAAGTCGGCAGACGACGACCACTATTGGGCATGCGTTTCTCGCTGCAAACGGACGATGTTCGCGGCGATTCCGACAACGGGTCCTGTTCAAAATGGGCAGGAACTGCTGTTGATCTCCGTCCTCATCATTTCCGTCCCCTTTACGGCCCTCTGAGAGGAGAAGGGGGAGGAGGGGTGGAGGGGGCGGAGGAGGAGGAGGATGATGTGAAGGAGGAGGCGGAGGGAGGAGGAGGAGGAGGAGAAGGAGGAGGAGGAGGAGAGGAGGAGGAGGAGGAGGAATAAGGAGGAGGAGGAGGCGGAGGAGGAGGAGGAGGAGGAGGAGGAGTGGAGGAGGAGGGAGGAGGGGGAAGAGGATGAGGATGAGGAAGAGGCTGATGATGATGAAGGAGGAGGAGGAGGAGGAGGAGGAGGAGGAGGATGAGGAGGAGGAGGAGAAGAAGGAAGGAAGAGGAGGAGGCGGATGCGGAGGAGGAGATGGGGGAGGAGGAGGAGGAAGAGGAGGAGGTTGGTGAGGGTGACGAGGATCAGGATGATAATGAGGATGATGAGGAAGAGGAGGAGGAGGAGGAGGAGGAGGAGGACGAGGAGGAAGAAAGCGAAGAGGATGGGGAGGCGGAAGAGGAGGAGGTGGAGAAGGCGTCGGAAAAGGAGAGGGGGCTTGTAATGTAGTGTTGGTGCCCTTAAAGGTAACATTAACCCTTGATGTATCAAGTGGGGCACTTAAACTCACCCACCCTTGTAAGTCGGTGCCGGTGAAAATTGGGAAGCTCCACCTTGCACATAATGATGAGACGTACTTCTTGATTGTACATGCAATGGTGGTTGGTATGCGTCCGCCGCATGCCTTGGCAGCCACCTCTGCCAGTTCAAACCTGGGGAAGTCTGGTGAACATGTGAGTGCGTGCAGCTATACAACTTTTATACTACATACCTGGCTTCACAATCTTACGATGGGGGATAGCTCATGTCCGCAGAAAGGTTGTGTGCAAGATTGCACAAAGTCTCTAACGCATACCCGTGTCAACATTGCCGCCTGGGTGGCCGATGTGGCGCCTCGATGCGTTGGGAGCTGCTGGCCGCACTGCTACGATGAAAGGTAGGGGGGTCGGTAGGGAAATAATCAGAGGGATGGGTGAGCAGGAAGAGGAGGGGAAACAGGAAGGGTTGCCAGGACGGGGATAAATCCAGAGGCTTGCTCTCTCACAGTGTCTGGACGCAGGCCCCAAAGCACCCAGGGAGGGCAAATAACCAAGCGAGCACCCTGGAGGGGCAGAACACGCTGAGGATAATATGGGGGCAGATTACGGGTAGACGCTGTTTTCCACATCGGACAAGGGATAACGACTCCCAGGCACCGAACTGGCGCCCAAGCCTCCCCCAAACCACAGCTAAGAGCAGCAGCCCTCGAACTCGAGGGCAGAGGGTGGCGGATGGGGACAGATCAGAAAACTAGAAGCCAGGGCAACTACAACGATCGTGGCACGAATTCGCGAGCCCGAATCTGAGCTATAACAAGTATCTCGGCTCCTGGAGGTCAGGTGGACATGAGAACTTCGCAGAACCTGACTGCACAAGCCCCGCCCCCGGAAGAGCCACCCGAGGCCTTTGGTGACTGTTTTGGGTGGGAACTTCTCTGACAAGAGGAGGTGGGGGAGGAGCAGGAAGAGAAGGATGAGGAGGGGGAGAAGGAGCAAGAAGACCTCGCGCCCGAAGCTGACGCGCGTGCGGAAAAGCAGCCCAGCCGCAGCGCCTCGTTGGCCGACCGAAGGCCCAGGGGTAGCCCATCTCCGTCGTCTTCGTCTTGCTCCTCCTCCTCCTCCTCCTCGCCTTTTTTTCACAAGACTCAGGACCCATGGACTCCACTCGACAAAGCCATACGCACGAGATCTGTAGCACAAACATCACTCTTCTCAGCACTTCGATTCTGGTGAAGGTCACTACGAAACCAATGCAAAGCGAGGCATAATGCCAACCGCTCACCGCTCAGGTGGCACTGGCCTGGCTGGCGACCCCCTGGGGCACGCACCCCCTCGCCATCCTCCTTCTTCTTATCGTCGTCCGCCCCTCCTGCTTCTTCTCCTCTTCCTCCTCTTGTTCCCCTCCTTCGTCTCTATGTCCTCCTCGTTCTCCTCCTCGTTCTCCTTCTTCTCCTTCTCCTCCTCCTCCTCCTCCTCCTCCTCCTCTCTTTTCCTCCTCTCACTCCTGCCGCTCTTCGAGATGGGAGGGGCTCGGGCACAACACCGGGCCGACGGACAGGAGCAACGGGCAACGGGAGAAGGGGAAGTCTCGGCCTTCCCGAAACGGCCCCAGAACGAATCCCCACATCTGACCATCGTCCGACGCGAACGACGCATGGGAGGCGGGAGGGCAGGGCTGCTTTCAGACATCACACGCTGACCCCAGACATCCGACGTCTCGTTTTTTTCGAGACGCGGGCCCCCGACGCCTCGACTACCTCCCCGTTGCCGTTTTTTCACCCGAACCTGTTTTCTTGATGGTCCCGAAGCAGTGTGGCGGCGCCGAGAGGCCGAAAACTATGACAAACCTGCGTCTCGATTTTTCGAGACGCCACACGTCTAGGAAGTCTTCCTCCGCGGAGACGCAGCGCTCCGGGCAGCAACCTTTCTGGACAATGCACACGGCAAGGTGCACGGAACGCAGGCACCAGCACTCCGCGACAGTCCCATGCTCGGCATCGACACCGGGGGAGATAAAGCGACGTCCTCAGGGGGAATGCAGGACGGACACAAACTCGAGCCCTACCCGCCGCAGGCAGACACGCAGGATCCCACAATCGAGCCTGCACCCCTCATGCCCCCTAAGGAGGAGGACCCCGATGGGACCAATGACGACCAGGCACAAGAGCAGAAGCTGCGCCTCGCCGAAGCCCTACGTAAGCGCAGTCCATCCGGTCTCCTCATCCTCAGACTCGGACACAGTCGAAGAGCACCAAACCAAGACGAGTCCTCGGAACGAGCGGCGCAGCAGTCCCGAGCACGACCCATGCAGTACCGACCAAAGGGCCGCCAACGCACCCGCGGAGCCGATCGTGCGTCCAGAGGCCGCGGCCGACGACCGGAAACTGCACACGCGGAACTGGTCCAAAGGCCCGGAGGACCCACGACCTGCACTCAACCCCCTCCCTGCGCACCAGTTCGAGCGCTTGCGCAGCAAGGTGCGGGAGCCAGTCGCCTGGGAGTCGTACGCGACGGCGGAGAGACACGAGTCCAGAGAGGCCGACCGGACCCGCACATGAGAGCACGACCGCGACCGCGACCGCAACCAGGGCGCAGCGGGGGCACCGTGGCGCAAACACGACTCCAGGGACTGGGACAGAACCAGGGAGCGCTACTGGGACCAGAACCACGACACTGGCAGGGGCGCAGGGAGCACACCCTGGCGCCAGCCAGAATCGCGCAACTCTTACCACAAAGACGATCGCCGCCATACCGACACCATCCGGACGCGGGCAACCTTCCGCGTTGGCTGGCAGCGCCTCCCGCACGAGACAGCAGTCACACACCTGAAGAGGCTGCAAGCGGAAGGGGGATACCACTTCAACGCAGCCTGGCATTCGTGGTGCAGGCAAGGAGCAGGGCAAAGGCAAATCCAAAGACCAGGTCCCCTTCGACCGGGGCCGCTGGCAGCATTGGATCATCGACAAATTCCTGGATGACATGAGCACCAACAACCATCACTTGGAGGCGTGGTCCCGCAGCGCAGGCGTCTACGTGGACTGGGATCGGGAGCAGAGGATATACCAGGACGTACAAAGAAAAAGGGAGGTCGCCAAGGGTGTCGGGCTCGAAGGGGACTAGGCGCGCAGCTCCGGGTACCATGACACCTGGACTGGAAAGCGCCCGCGGCGCTGACCAGCCGCCGACCTGTCCCCCCTTGCCCTACGGCAGCACGACACAACCATCTCCTCGCTCCTACCACCTGCGCCCCCCACCCCCGCCCCGCCTCTCTCACCTGGCTGGGGACCGTGTGTCCTCCCCTACCCCCGCACATGCACCCCATTGCCCTAATGGCGCTCGCGTTCCACGGGCTACGGCTACTTGCCATTCCACCTGGTCCCCGTTTTTTCCTTCTCCTTCCCTCCCCCTCTCCCGTCTTCAAGGATCTGGGACCTTGTGTCCCACCTGTACCCATCGGGGGCCGTTCCCTCTGTGAACATCTGTGATGCGGACTGGTGCATCGACGACTGGCGTGGCACGCCCTGTCTTTACCTGCAATGGGACCTTGTGTCCTACCTGTACCACTTGGGGCTTGTCCCCCACGTGAGCACCCGCCGTGCAGGCTGACGCGACTTCGGCTGGTGGGGGATGCTGGCCTCTCTCCTCCCTGTTCGCTTCGTCCCCCCCCCGCTCGCTTCCCCCCCTCCCATGGCGGCAGCGCCCGGCACAGCGCGGCTCAGGCCCGGCCCTTGGCCATGCGGACGTCGGCGCATCGTGTGTGGCACCCGCCCGTCTTCACGCGCTGACTGTGCAGGTCAGGTTTCCTCCGTGCACTCCACCGACATCCAGTCGGACACGGACGGCCCTGTCTCTGGCCGCACCTCTTGCTGGCTGCTTCCTGGACGTGGATTGGACTACCACCCCAGGCCGCTTCCGACCACCCGGTGGCACAACGCTGCACATCGCCTTCGTGGTCCTCCTCTTCTCCTTGGCCCCCTCCTCACCATCCGGTGGCACAACGTTGCTCATCGCCTTCATGGTGGACTTTTCCCCCCTGCACGTCGACCTGTTCGCGTACAACGTCCTCCTATACAACACATGAGGATGGTGTTTACGGAACGCCATTGACGGCAACACCACACCGCTCACCCTCCGGATCTTCGCCTCTGGCTCCTGTCCAAGGCGTTCCTTTTCCTGTGCAAGCTCCTCGGCACCGCCTGCACCCCCGCCCGCCATCCGGCCGCCTGAGGCCCCGCCCGCCCCCAATTAGAGCTATGCGGAGCCCGCCTAGCTTTTACCGGAAGAGGTTCGCTCTCGCCCCGCAGACCAAAAACAGGTCTAGGAAGTCTTCTAGGCGCGCCGTGTGCGGAGATGGCCGCACATCCCACGGGACCTCTCTGGGCGGTCGGTGGCCCAGAACGGTTCCACTGAGAGCTCCTCCGCCCCTGCCTACGGCGGACACCCGTGCGTACCCGCGGGGCCCAGAGAGGCCGATCGGATTTCTTGGGAGCCGGGTTCGCGGGGCTGGTCGCTGGGTTGGCCGGACTGAGGCACGCGAGTCAATACTTTCTTTTCTCTCGCAATTCCCAAGCTAGCTTCTGTATCAAGCCTCAAACGCCCTCTTGAGATATGGCACACATCAGCGCCGGGCGCGGACTAGCCAGCAGGGGTGTGCATAAACCACCCCTGATCCGCACGACCACGCTTCAGCAATCAAGTGCTGCTTACGTGCAGTCACGTGCGACGCTGGCCAGGGTGTCAGGTCAAAGCGCATGCGCCGGCCTGGCCCGAAGGAGGCAGCATCAGGCCTCGAGGGCGCTGGCCGACTGCTCTCTCCTGGTGGGCTCCCTGCGCGTGGAGCGATGACATCATGATCTGGGCTCAACGTCAGAGCGCGCGCCGCCCTGCCTTGCATGCCAGGGCTGCCCCCGCCCCCCTCCCACCCTGAGATCCGACGACGGGAAATCACTGAGACACCGCCTGAAGTCACCTCTGGAGCCCTGGGCCCCCTCTTTCCGCGTCCTCCTTCGAGCCAGATCGATCTGTTGAGGCCCCCGGGGCCCGAAACCCGACGAGAACGCCCAGCCCGACAAAAGCTGAGGCGCCAGGATCTCAGGGTAAGTCGAGGCCTCGCGGTCCCAACTCGCCGCCTCGAGCCGCGCGGGCGCGAGCGCGAGCTCGGCGGAGGGGGGCGAGGCGGGGCGCCTGACATCGCGGCGGGCAGAGGCGCCGTCGGCCAGGGCGCCGGGCCGGGCGTCCAGCGAGATGTCGGGTGGAGCGACAGGCAGGGCGTCTGCCAGAGGGTCGAGTGAGGCGTCGGGCGACGAATCGGGTGGGGCGGCTTCTGGGCGGCTCGGGGTAAAAGGTTCGGGCAGGGCGCTGGTCTCGCCGTCGGGCGCGGCGTTGGTGTGCTCGTGCGCGGTCAGCGTGGTATTGAAGCGGAGGCTCTCGCAGGTATCGTTGACAGCGCGGGCCTGGACGAGGACCGATGTGGGGCGTCGGGCGCAGCATCAGGCTGGGCGTGGGGCTGGCCGTTAGGTGCGGCATCGGGCTTGGCGTTGAGTCGACCGTCGAGTGGGGCGTCGGGCGACGGCGTCGGGTGGGGAGGGCGGGAGCCGTTTACGGCGTCGGGCTGGGCGTCGGGCAAGGGTTCGAGCAAGTAATGAGTCGGGCGGGGTCTCGGTCGGGCATGGCGTCGGTCTCGGCGTCGGTTCAGGCGTCGTGTGGGTCGAGCTGCTGGGCGCAGGCCATCGCGTTCTGGACGTCAAGCGGGGCGTCAGGTGGGGCTTCGGACAAGACGGCGGATGGGGCGTCGGGAAAAGCGCCAGGTCGGGCGCCGGGCTGGTCGTCGGGAAGTGTGCCCTGCGGGGCGTCGAGCATCGTGCGGGGCAGGACGTCGGGTGTGGGCTTTAAGCGAGATGCGTCGGGTGGGGCTCGGCGTCTGGCTGGGCGTCGGGCGGGGGCCGTTGTCTTGGCCTGTTGCGGCGCTCCCGGCTTGTTTGTCCAGCACGCCCTCGTCGTGGCCTCCGAGATTCTGCGCTCCCTCCTCGTCGAAGTGTCCGTTGACTTCTCCGTTGGCATTGCCATATCCCGTGGAATAGCCATTTGTGTCGTGCGCGTCGTCGTCGTGGCCGTCGTCGTGCTGGGAAGTTGCAGCAGCCTCCTCGCAGTGGCCCTGGCCGGCGGCGTGCTCCTCCGCAGGCGAGGGCCTGGGCGCGGGCCTGGGCGTCGGGGTCTCAGCCGATGTCGTGGTGGTGGCCCTCCTCCCTTCCCTCGTCGCTGTTGTGGTGGAGAGCGTGGCTGTGGTCAGGGCAGTCGTGGCGGTCGGGCTCCTGCCGTCGTAATCGTGATGTCCAGCGTCGGCCACAGGATAAGCATTGGGCGGAGGCGCCGCGGTGGGTCGTGCCGGTGGTCGTAGCAGTGGAGGTCGCAGCTGTGGTGGTTGTGTTGGTGGTCGTGTTGGTGGTCGTAGTGTGGTCGTTCTGGTGGTCGTCGTGGTGGTCGTAGTCGTGGGCGCGGCCTTAGTAGCGAAGCTCGTAACGTCTACTGGAGTGGTAGTGGTCGGTGTCGTGGGCGCGGCCGTAGTAGCGGAGCTCGTCGATGTCCTCCTCGTTCCTGTGGCTTCCCAAAGGAGTCGGTCGTAGAGGTTTGAGGCCAGGGCGGGCACGAGATCGAGCGCCGCCCTGTGCAGGGGGCTGCTGCGCCCTCGCGGGGGCAGTCGGTTCCTGAGGTCGGTGTGACATCTGATCCCTCGAGTGCTGTGCCCTGATGGGGTCCGACATCACGCGGGGCAAGAACCCGGGCGCATCCCCTCGCAAGGGCTGGTGCATCCGCGCACGGGCAATCGGGTTTCTGGCGCCAGTTGGTTCCTTCGCCTGTTGCCTCTGGCGCGCCCTGGCACTGGTCCGTATGCGCCCTCAAAACTGGCCTGGCCCAACACCACCAACTCTGAGGAGGAGGAGGAGGAGGAGGAGGAGGAGGAGGAGGAGGAGGAGGAGGAGGGAGGAGGAGGAGGAGGAGGAGGAGGAGGAGGAGGAGGAGGAGGAGGAGGAGGAGGAGAGGGAGGAGGAGGAGAGGGAGGAGGAAGGAGGAGGAGGAGGAGGAGGAGAGGAGGAGGAGGCGGAGATTTCCCCAGCGGAGCTGGTCTGCGACTGTGTTTTCCAGTTCTGCACGCCGCTGCGCCTTGGAAGCGGCCGGGTGGTCTGCGCTGGACGGGCCCCGAGAAGTCGGCCAAGCGGAGGGGGTGAGGCAACTCCGTTTATCAAAAGCGGTCCCCGGACCCCTCCTGGAATCGAGACTGGCAAGTTTTCCGAGCCGCGTCCTTCCTTCCTGGTTTTCGTGGCGACGAGGGGCAAGTTTTCGTGGCGACGAGGGGCCCCCTTCCTCCCCCTTTCCTGCCGGCCGGAACCGGTGCTGGGCCACCTCAGCCCCCGGGCCAGCTCCAAGATGTGCCTCCTCTTCTTGGCCGCGTTCGTGATGCGGAACCGCCTCGTCCAGCGGCCTCGGTCCGAGTCTCGAGTCCCACGTTGGCCAATCCTTCGGTCATGGCGCCTGTCGCCAGAACTGGCTGCGGGCGCCGCGAGTAGCGCCACGCGCCTCGCGCGGCCCGCCAATCAGGCAGGGCGCTCGTGGGGCCCGAACGGCCAGAGCCACAGCAGTGGCCACGAACTCCTCTGCCCCCTCTTCCTCCGCCTCCCCTTCCTCGCGCTGCTGCTGCTGCTGCTGCTGCTGCTGCTGCTCCTGCTGCGTTTCCCCATTTCCTTTTCCTCCTCCTCCTCCTCTTCCTCCTCCTCCTCCTCCTTCTCATTCCCCTCCTCATTCCTCTCCTCATTCCCCTCGCCCCTTCCTGCCCCTCCCCTCCTTTCCCCTTCCCTCCCGTCTCTTCCCTTCCCCCCTTCCCTCCCCAGCTCGCTCGGTTGCCGCCGCATCGTCGTCGTCGTCGTCGTCGTCGTCGTCGTCGTCGTCGTCGTCGTCGTCGTCGGCCATCGAGCCTTGGGCGCGGCAGCCCGCGACGCCCGCGACCGCCGCCCGGACGCGGCCCTCGAACTCCTCCAGAGCGCATAGTTGAAGCAAGGAGGGAGGTGAAGAAAGACGAGGAGGAGGATGAGGATGGGAATGATGATGACGGCGACGACGACGACGTCGACGACGACGATGATGATGAGGATGATGATGCTGCTGCGGATTGTTTCTGCAGATGATGATGAGTATGACGATGATGATCGCGATGATGGTGATGGTGATTGCTGTGGCGATTATCACGATGCTGATGATGTTGTTAATTAGGATGCTGATGATGGTGATGACAATAACGAACCTGATGATGATGCAGGTGATTCTGATGGTTGTGGCGACGATGATGATGCTGCTGATTATGATGACGATGGGGAGATGATGCTGCTGCTGATGATGATGATGCTGATGACGAGGATGCTGATGCTGATGCTGACGATAATGCTGCTGCTGATGATAATGAAAGTCATCAGGATGAAGAGGAAGCTGAGGAGGATGGGGGATAATGATGATCACAACGACGGCGATGACGATGACGATGACGATCATGATGATGGTGATGCTGATGCATTACTATGACGATTATGGTGATCATGATAATGACACTGCTGCTGATGCTGCTGATGATGATGTTGCTGATGTTAATGGGAACTATCGTATGTTTCTCTCGATGGCGATGATGCTAATGCTGGTAATGATGAGGATGATGAGGCTGATGTTGTTGTTGATGATAGTAGTGGTGATCAGGATGACGACGAGAACGATAACGATACCAATACCGATGACGATGATAGTGCTGTTGATAATGCTGAATATGATGATGCTGATCAGGATTATGCTGATGATGCTGATGAGGATGATGGTAAAGATGATGCTGAGGATGATAATGATACTGGTGCAGATGCTGCTGCTGATGTCGATGATGGTGATGACGATGACGATGACGATGACGATGCTGGTGATGCTGATGATGCTGCTGATGATGACGACGACGATGATAATGATGATGAGGAGGCTGATGGTGATAATGATGCTGATGATGACGATGATGCTGCTGATGATGATGCTGATGAGGATGAATAGGAAGAGGAAGAGGAGGATGAGGAGGATGAGGGAGAGAAGGAGGAGGAGGAGGAGGAGGAGGAGGAGGAGGACGAATAGGAGGAGGAGGAGGAGGACGAACAGGAGGAGGGGGATGATGATGATGATGATGATGATGATGATGATGATGATGATGAGGAGGAGGAGGAGGAGGAGGAGGAGGAGAAGGAGGAGGAGGAGAACGAGTAGGAGATGGAGGAGGTCGAAAAGCAGCGCAGTAAAGGTTGAGAAACAGGGGGAG